CATGGTGATGAGCCAATGGTAGGACTTTTGTCCGTAAGAACTAAACAGCGAATTCAGAAAATCTTCATACATAAAAACAAAAAACCCCCAATATTTCACCACTAATGTCCCTCGACTCCTGGCGGGGGGGCGGGTCATTAGGAGGGAGGGGGGCCGGCGCCGGCGCGGCGCCGGCAATCCCTTAACCGTAGGTCCTTCTCGCTCTGCCGCGCGACGTGCATCCAGTCTTTGTCCCCTCCTCTCGCCACTCCTCGCGCGCGCTCCGCCCATCCTACATGGCCATAGGGCCATAATGGCTTTTGCCAATGACCCCCTCGCCATATGCGCCGCGGCTTCAGTCTCAGGCCAAAGCCTCATGACCCTTTTCCTCTCCTTTCCTTCTTAAAGAACAGCATAAAATAAAAAAAATCAAAATTTCACTCCGGCCCACCGCGGCGCCACTCCCACAACCTATCTTAATCTAACGCTTCTACGCAACAGCAGAAGTCATCCCACATACCTAACGGCCACAACAGTCCTATGAATGCTTTCCCCACTCAGGTGCTCCCTACTTGACCTACCCTAAACAAAGAACCGAGCTGGTCACTTCCGTCTACAACTCCAATCTCTACTCTCACCACAAACAACACGCGTTACGCTCTAACAGCTCCTCGGTCACTCCCGCCCCCCATAAATAAAAGAGATCAGCTTTAGAGTCCAAATTGTACCAATATTGCCACGAATATTGCGCAGACAAACCGTACTGTTCACCGATAAGTGCGCCGTGTGACTCCGCCCACAAATATTTTCTATAAGGTATAACCAAAAAAGTATAAAAAAAAAATACATAAAAATAACAAACAAGGTCATGATTTTCCAGTTCTTCAGGGTGTTACTTAAATTATAAAGTAACCTGTGCAATTGACTATAGCATTTCGCGAAGTACCCTCATTACACCTAGCCTATGTAAAGTTTCATAGTGTGCTATACCATAGGCCCAACCATAGCCATATGCAAGTCTACCATAGCCATAGCATAGCAATTTTTTTCATACTTGCTATACGTTAGGGGATGGCATCTGCCTGGTGAAAAACTGTTTAAGGAGAGGACAATTACCGTCGAGTAACACGCTTAACGAGGGTTGACTCTATACCCTAACAGGTGAGAGTTATCGAAAGTATTCAGTTGGAGTCTCTTAACCACCTCTTCGTTTGCCCTCCCGGTGAAGCCGATTTACGTTTGTCCCATCGGAGGAGACGTCGCATCCACGATCCATAGAAGAGACGGAAATCCATCGAGGAACATAGGAGAGAACGTGAAAATACAGCATCACATGACGAATATAACAAACGGTACATCCATCTTACTGAACACCCAACGACGAGCGAAGAACGCGGAAGAAACTATAATAGTGGGTCGCGAACATAAACTAAACGATACACACATCTCTCCCACTCACGCAATTTTACAAAATACACTCCCTGACGCCTGACTTTAATCGAGTTTCGATTTAGACCCGTAACCGCGCCATCCAAAACTGAACAAAATCACAAGAGGACACGTAAAGGGACGGTTTATTTGCTAGTTTAGTTTTTGGTTATTTTTTTTATTTATGTCTATATCACAGCACACACAGAAAACAGACACACACACCTATGTGCCTTGGCAGTCTCTTTATTCATTGTTCATCTGACAAAGGTAGGTCAAAAAGTGCATAAAAACACAACAAATTAGCATTCATTTAACAGAATCTGAAAAAAAAGTGCACAGTTGTAGCATTACATTTGTTTGCTTTAGAAGTCAAATATTCAGGTTATTTTTTTTGAACCAGGCACATCACAAAGTGCATTTACTGAATACAATAATAGCAGTCTTAATAAATGTCCTCACATACAAAAAAAACAGCTAAAGAGCTCCAATGCAACACAAAGAGGTAGTACTGTAGCAATACTATTTTTTCACTTTTCAAGTAATAACAAAAAAATCATACGTTTTGGTCACATTTGACCCAGACACATTACAAAGTGCATTTAAATGAATACAGAAAGAACTGTCAAACCCTTCAGTGCACAAACCCATAACAAGGGATACGGGTAACTATATGAATGTATACTACACTACACGTCTACTATAGTAAACTAGGTGCTTACTATCACCTCATTTGTGATTTGTCATCGCTGACTTTCTCAATGGGAGAAGGGACATTTTTTGTTTTGAACAAGAGCAGTGATTTTTGGCTCATAGGATGTCAATGCAATCCTAAGACATTGGTGAAGAGTGCTGTCAGTCAGGGAGCAGCGAGTGCTACTTTTGATTGAGTTAATGTGTGAAAAGCTTGATTCACATGTGTATGTTGATCCAAACATACTGAGCACACAGATCGCAACTTTCTGAACGTTAGGGAACTGCTGTTTTTTGACATCACTCCAAAACTTCGCTGGCCCGTTAGTGCGCTGCATGTCAATAAGTTCCAGTGTATATTTCCCCTTGTCGATGCAGGGGACCACTTCCTTTGCTCTGGTTGATACGTCCCCCTCTATTGCAACAGTGAAGGGGTCTCTGGCAAAGCCCATCATCACGTCTGTGGGCAGAGCAAGTCCATCCAATCGACCGGCAAAGTTCTCTTTCAACCTCGCAATGAAATCTGTCATCACATCCGTGATTTGTGCCGGAGATGTGATGTGTTTGGGGAGCGTCGGAAAATGCAGCATCCGACCCGTGCTCAAGTCGGTAGCTAAAAGGTCCAGCTTGACTTGGATCTGCTCCACAAGATCAATTACCGTGTTGTCTCTGTTTACGCTTCAGAGTTGAGAGGGACATGTTTTAGAGTTGCTATCATAGGACCACCGTTACTAGCACCACTAGATGCACTTTCAAAAAACGTGCTGCGTTGTGGTTTGGTGGTTTCTATGCAACGCGGAGTGTTGCGTTCATGGTCTGTACTAGTGTAGGAATTTGGCTACGGGAGGCTGGGCCACTCGGGAGTTGGTTCTGAGCCGCATCCGGCCCGCGGGCCGCCTGTTGAATAGGCCTAGAGTTTGCGTTGAGGACCGCACGTTTTCCCGTCAAGTTAGTATTTTATAAATCGAAAAACATTGCGTAGAAACTGGCGTACGCCATTTTTTTAGCGTATCCCTTTATAAATGAGGCTCCTGGTGTTTCCTCTAGCCCCCCCCCCATCAGGTCAAACATTTCACTCACTCACAAAAAATATTGAAATGTAGGGGGATAATATTCAAGTTGCTACATTAAAGTGAGGCGTCCCCTGCTGTCTGCTTTTTTCCGTGCTACCGCTTGGAGATGTCAATAGTAGGATTTACCGATCACATTTTCAGGAATTAAAGAAGATTATTAAAGTAAAAGTATAGGATTTCTAAATTGTAAAAGTACTTGCATTCAAAATCTAATTCAAGTAAAAGTACAAAAGTATCGAAATGGCCCATTTCAGAATCATAATGAGTTGCTGGATTATATTTATGATTATTGATGTGTTTTTATCAGAGCTCATTTAAATACTTCATATACTGCTACCGGATGTCTTAACCTATAAAAATATATCAAAGTGTATTTAATAATTCATTTATATTCTGTAGCTAATAATCTATATCTAAAAAAACTCAAATAAATGTGGTTTATGTTTTAGTGTATTCATATTTGGCTTTATTTTATAATCTGAATCTGAAAAAGTAACTGATAACTAATTTTGTCAAATAAATGTAGTCGAGTAAAAAATGCAATATTGGCTTGTGAAGTATAAAGTAGCATTAACTGAGAATACTGAAGTGAAGTACTAGTACCTCAGACATGTCCCTCACCCAAACAGGAGAGAGGTGAGTCAACTGCAGCTCAGCCTGTCAGGATAATACCAGCTGTGACTGACTGGAAATCATCTGCAAGCAAATATTCAGCATGAAGGACTACAATTAATTTCCCTTTAGTTTACATCTCAGTTAAATCAAGACGGAGAATATAATCTTGATGTTGTCATAGTGATGTCATCATTGGGGATATAGGCTTGTGATTTAGACTTGAGTGTTCACCAGCACTGTGAGGGAGTGTCTGATACAAATACATTATTTAGTTTCATTTTGGGAAATGTAGAATCCAGTGTTCTTTGGAGCTCATCTCGGGCTGAATGTCACGATATGTCTGAGTTGGCTCTGTTTGTATCCTTTTTGTTTTTAATCTGTGACTTGTCTTACTCAATGTAATTGGAATTTTAAATATTTCTGCTTTATATATAAACATAATACTCAAACTCAAATTGATTTAAACAGTATCACATGTTTATCATATTAGACTGTAGAAAATGATGTTTGTTATTCCTGAGGAACTCTAACTAAATAAATTACATGAGAGAACTTTGTCAATTGCTATATAGCACATTTTAACACTGTACTTCCTACACCACTGCGTAAAGGTTACTTGTAATACATACTGGAGCCTTTCTCCAAGTGTTGCATTGGATTTAAACATGTATCTCTCCTGGGTGATGCAACCTCAGGGAGGCAAGTGTCGTTGACTTACCGCTGTGCCACCAATGTGTCGAAAACAGCTCACGAGGGGGGGGGGGGTAAGTGGGGTCCTCTCCTCAGCATCCCTCTGATGCCAATCAGTCAGTCCAGTCAGCCACCCAGTCCTCAGGGTTGTTCAGGAGTTAAGACGTGCTCCAAAGTCCACCACCATGAGACAACAGCTGCCAGTGATAGCCAGCCAGCCAGCCAGCCAGCCCCCCCCAGTGTGATGCCCCTGTTTAATCCACTATTCACATACAGTATTGTATCAACTGTACTCCTCCCCCCCCACCCAATAATAATGTCTGTTCAGTCCGTCAGTGTTCAGGAAGCCGTTATGTGGATGCTGTTAGTAACAATACCAGACCAGCTCTCTTTTTGACGTTGATCTTTTTCATCATTTTATTATATATATATATTTATAATATGTACAGAAAAAAAACATGATCAAACTCAGCAGGGAGACAGCACCAAAGTGAACAAGCCGGACAGAAAAAAGACAGAAGGTGAGTGACAGGCAGCTCCTGCCCGGTGCTTTTTATTAACAACAACACCTAGTGAGTGCCTTTAATAAGCCATTGAACAGCCATGGACAAGTGTGCAAATGACATGGACAAAAACACCCCCTTTCACCCAAAATCAATACAAAAAGAAAGAAAGAAAAGTGTATTTTCATCAGAATCACATTCATAAGCCCCACCCCCACCCAATTCAGATTCCCCTTCTCATTCTTCCATCGACTAGACAACACAGTATTCAATGAATACATTAAAATCAGTAGAATAACAAGACTTGTTGAAAGAAAGATTTAAAAAAGGACAAAATCCAGGGTGTGTGTGTCTCAAGTGTTAGGTTTGCTTGTTCTGCATCTACTCAAGTGTGATACCGGGATGCCAACATGTGTCCATAAAGCTTCAGGAATGTTACACGCAACCCTGACCCTGATCCACACAGCTGTTTCCTTCCTCCCTTCCTCTTAATGTGAGATTAAAGTCCTGCAAAGCAAACTACTGTATGCCAGTTTCTCTTCACAGGGCTGGATAAAAAAAACATACATCAGTGGAAAATGAACACACACACACACACACACACACACACACACACACACACACACACACACACACACACACACACACACACACACACACACACACACACACACACACACACACACACACACACACACACACACACACAATGTGGACTCCACTATATTCAGGTTTTGTGTCGCTGTTGTGCCTGAAATCAGATTTATCAAATGTATCAGTAAAGGGTTGCCTTGAATTGGGAGTTCATATCCGGTCTGCAAACCAAGACCAGTCAGTCCCAGAATCTCCAGACACCCCCGAACACAACACAAGGGATGACGCAGACTAAATTCCTTTAGTTCAGCATGTGTAGGAGCCACAGATAACCGAGTGAAGTCAAAACAAAGTGAGTTCTTAGAAGGCCCTAATGCTTGTTTCCAGTTCTTTGTGAGGGGGGGGGGGGGTGAAGGGTTAGGGCTCAGATTGCTGAGGTCTCAGAGTTCTACGTCAGTGTGGAGGCCCCTCTACAGAAGCTCTTTTCCTCACACTCCTCGTAGTTTCCCTGGAAATAGACCTAACACAGTTACGAGAAGCGCTCCAGGCATGTACACACTCTCATACCTTTGCCATTTCAACGTTACTATGCCAACAGGAGTCATTTAATGACAACCGGCTAGCAAGGTCCTAACAGAACATCAAATCTGTTCACATATATGTCTTGCAAGACGGATTGAATATGTTCCTCTCAAGTAAATATGACCTATAGAATGAAATGTCACGCTGAAGTACAAGTTTACTCTGAACCACTGCTTCTTTAAGATGCCTTTAGGAGTTTTAAATGATATGGGAATTCTTCCTGTGTCCGTGTCCATGATTATTAACATTTCTTTAAAAATGTAGAAAGGTCTTTTGCTTTGTTGAACATGAAAGCTTCAGTATACTTCAAATAAAGTGCCTCCTTTATCCTGTTCTTGAAAATATGGCCTTGTTTATTAAAAGTATAGCGAGTAATGATTGTAAGGGACTCAAATGTGAAAAAAATAATCACAACTGGCAAACTAAAGCATCTGATCAGAAACCCAAAATGCACAGGGACAAATAAGAAATCGCTAACCGTCCGAATGTGACACGATTACAACAGGTCGTTCTCAGGGAAGGAGCAGCAGCAGCAGCAGCAGCAGCAGCAGCAGCAGCAGCAGCAGCAGCAGCAGCAGCAGCAGCAGCAGCAGCAGCGCCCCCTGTGTGCCTTGGCAGCCAGAAAAGGGCACACCTCCACCTCAGCTCCATCTGCAAACAAGCAAGAAATGAAATCCTAAAAGCTATCTGTCACCTGCTGAGCATGAGAATTTAAGCAAATTATACACGTCTCCTTCAGAAGTATCGATGAGTAAATAAAACAAACAATAAAACCACAACAACAATAAATTGTAAGATCAATGCAGAATGTTGCCAATCGCTTTCATTTAAGTTAAATCTTTGCCCCCTCTATGCATCTGCTCTGTAATATTTAGTGTATCCAGGAAGCCCCCGTGCCAAATGTTACAGCATGTTGTCACGTCGCTTGCTTTTAATGTATGAGATGAAAACTAAAAAAGTCAAATGAACCCTGTATACTGCTGTTCTCACAACCCCGCCTCCAACCCAGCTCTGACGTCTATATGTGGAATTAAGTCACCTGCCAGTACTCCTCTTCTCCCCCAAGTGTTGAGCAGTTAATGCTTCCTTCAGAACCAAGCACGATCCGTCTTTGCATCTAGATCTTTATCCTGTATGTAGCCGAGCCAAAGTAGCAAAACAATTCATTTCAGAGGAAATGTGTGCCCCTGACCAATCACGTTCTGACTTTTAAGAGAACATAGATCCAAAAAGAAGCAGGCTATGGTATTAGCCGTGTGGTACCATACACACTATGGTACAGAGTGGCCTCTTGAGTGAACTGTGTTAACTGGCTGTTAGCGACCAAGCTAGCTGGCTTGCTAGATGCAACTGGTTGGCTTGCAAATTAGCCCCACAAGTAGCCACTATGCTACCTAGCTTGTTGCGCTAGAAGGTGAATTTTATTTTGCTCTGCCACTTTAGAATGCTTCAAATTAAATCATTGTCGGGTTCCAAAAACCTCTTTTCCGTGGTGCACATGTGGGACTGCATCCAACAATGTTTGGAACTTCAACCCGACAATGATGATCAGTTTAGGGCAAGGTCACACATGAGCTAATGAAGACCCCTGACGGATTTGACCAAAGTTGAACTCTATGCCAAGCAAAGATTCGTCATTACTCGTGTCGAATGGAAGTCAAGGTGAGTTGAATATTAATTTAGCAAAAGTGGCATGGCCTTATTCAGCATTAGCTGCATGTGAGGAGTTTTCATTCTTCACATAACTACTGCCGTCACCTGTTTCCAGTTCACTCAAAGGTGTGTTCAGACAGAAACCGAGGTCAATTCTTAATGCTAGCGAGATTGCATACAAACTCTATGGAAAGGCATAAACAGGTGCAGGTTCACTCGGGGGGTCTGGGATCAGACGTGTGTCCACTGCTGCCCTACCAGATGGTAGTGTGAGTTACAGAGAAATGAATAGTAATATAAATCCTTGGTTGAAGCAGAATTTAAAACAACAATCCACAGTTTAAGAACAGCAGTTGGATATAATAGTTTGTGGGGAAACTACATAATGCTTTGTCCAAAGCCTTTGACAATCAAAGGGGATAGCACACATCTGATGCCAAGTGTAGGTGGTTGGGCCTGTTGACCCGCTGCAATATGATTGGCTGTTTGCCAATTACTGTCTTAGCTCGTAGTTGGAAGAGGCAAATGTTTCCTTTCAACTGACAGCGCATAAAAAGGGCGAGTCAAGCATTAGAACAGCAAGTTGTGGAGAGCACGTGAATGATAAACCACAAGAGTGTCATTGCTTCCTGTCTGAACACACCTTAAGACACAGAGTGGCTTCAGGGAGAGGACAGATGGAGGGAGAAGCTTTCCCTTGGATCTCCATCAATATATTTCAAACCATGAGTCACTGTTCAGGGAAAGAGAATCTAGTGTGTGTGTGTGTGTGTGTGTGTGTGTGTGTGTGTGTGTGTGTGTAAATAATTCCAGGGATGAAAGTAGGGCTGAGGCGAGAGATGAGATCAGCAAAGACAGACACAGCCTGAGGAGGAAAGAGTTTTGCCAAAAGGCTAAAATCTTTTGAACCTCTGCCCCCCCCGCTACTGTGTGTGTGTGTGTGTGTGTGTGTGTGTGTGTGTGTGTGTGTGTGTGTGTGTAGCAATAAGCTCACTTTTATCTAAACCTAATCTTCCACTGCCTCACTTCCATCCTAAATCAATAGCAATCTTCCCCCTGTTTCCTCTCTGTCCTCTTGGCAGAAAGTAAAAGTGGCCTCCGTGTCCCTCCCTTTCCTCTCTCCGCTGTTTGACGGGTGTCGGGGCCCAAATGTTTCAATGTGTTTTCTAATCTTAACAATCTTACAGTTTACTCCTCTGATCAACCGCCCCCGGATCTCCAGAAGGGCGGATAGAGGGGGGTGTGATGGAGGAGTGGGGGGGTGAGGGAACACAGACGGAGAAGAGAGGGAGATTTCAGTGGGAATGGTGGAGGTGATGGTCGGGGCGGGCGGGTGTGGAGCGAGGGGTCTTTAACAGCAGCCCCCTCCGGACTGCCTGACAGGAGTGCTATCGATCTTGAGGTTGGGCTTGTCTCCGCCGGCTGTGGCCCCGGGGCCCATGCGCTTCTTGATCTCTGCCGCCATGGTCATGAAGGCCTGCTCTACGTTGGTGGCGTTCTTGGCGCTGGTCTCCAGGAAGGGGATGGCCAGGGAGTCGGCAAACTCCTGATGGAGAACATGGAGAACACTTATAGTGGGACAGTGAGCTCATCACACACAGACATGGAGTAACGGGTGCTGTATTCAAGTCAAACTACTTTTGCCATTTTTTTGTCAAAGAAAAACAGATCAATCAATAATGAATAATCATAAAGATGCCCAATGATGCTCCTTGGGGTTCTCCCTCTCCTGTAGTGTGTGCTATAGCCTTCAGTGCATGTCTATGGTCTGCAGAGGCTGAACTCCCCGAGAGTTTCTCTCCCACACACCAGTTGTCAAGGTAGATTGGTGTTAGGTAGCACAATGTGACATCCCGAGCATCTTATGTTTCTTGGATGGCTGCAAAGGCGTGTTCACATTCAAAGAAATAATCCTTAGGTTTCCTTAAAGGCTATTCCTTAAAGTGTGAGTTTCTAACAGCTATCGAAAACATGCCAAAGTGCAATGGATTGTTTAATAAAAGCTATGTATCCATTAGAAAGGGAAGGTGTTTCCAGCAGTGATAGGTATGCCTGTTGTAATGGTGTAGTCTCCATTAGAGTACAGGCGTTACCATGAATGAGTCAAAGGAATAGTATGTCATGTGCATCCCCCCCTCACAGATGAGAAGAAGAATCATGTTGGGACTGAATGCACAGCCTCACCTTGGCTGTTGTGTAGTCCACTACTTTCTTAGTGGTCAGGTCACACTTGTTGCCCACCAGAAGCTTGTTGACATTTTCACTGGCGTAGCGGTCGATTTCCTGCAGCCACTGCTTGACGTTGTTATAGGACTCCTGCACAGAGACAAGGATGTGAGCTTTAGAGCTAACTGCAGCACTCGACATGCTTCTAACACCACTGGGAGGACATGCACACAGCTAAAGGTCTTTGTAGTACATCATCAACACCTGAACAATCTAATGAAATCACACACCAGAGCCCTGCAGTAACAACTTGTTGTGTAGTTCTAGTAATAGGGGTTCTTGTGGAGATTGGGTCATGATAGTGATGAAACTGTTTTTTAGGCTGTGTTTAGCAATGAATTATGTGTGATCTTTTTATATTTGTCACAATGATGTATTCATACAGTCATATAATACAAATAAATAGCTATATGTCATGCTAGGACAAGACACAACTGGGATTGTCTGTCCATGTAATTCACATCAGATCAGTTCAAGTTTGAACAGGGTTAGGTAATGAACAACATTTGGTACACAGAATGTATACTTATCAAAGTAACAAGACAAACTATAACATCCTAAAGTATAGGAGTGATTACCCACCTGATCTGTCACATCATATACAACAATGATGCCATGAGCTCCGCGGTAGTAACTGGAGGTGATGGTACGAAACCTCTCCTGACCTGCAGTGTCCCACTGACAGAGACGCAGGCAGAGAAAGAACATTAATAAACAAAAATCCACAAAGAATGTGAACAAATTGATTAATACCCTAACTTATAACCACCTTGAGACAATCCAAGGTCTCATGTGTTGTTTTGACTTTACGGAGCATTATTACGGCATAAGAAATGGACCATTGAGGAGAAGGATGTACCATAAACAAATGGAGTGTAGCAACATCAATTCTATTGAGCTGATTTCTGGATAGCAGTCAAAATAGCAGCGCTTGGAAATACTTAGAGGATGGAGACACAAATAGCACTGAGAGCAGAGTGGTGTGACAGGACTGTGATGTTGCAATGATGCAATTAGTGATGTGTAAATGCACATTATTCAGAGTTTACCATATTAACTGACAGGCTAATAGAGTACAGCTCACCCCCCCCACACTTCATTTTAGCAGCCTTCTTTAGTGTTTGGTGGCTGTAGCACTATGGGTTTATTTGACAAGTAACAGTATTTCAATTATTTGTGTTAAAAGGAAAAAACAATGCTTTGAAGCAGTTGGCTGAGAGGCTGCCCTGCTCCTGGGTCTGTGAAGAACACAGTGGAATCTTTTGGAGTTTTCCCTAAAGTGGATGATGTGATGTGAGCATTCCTCTAGCTCTGCTCTGAACTCACGTCACCTGACAGAACGAACCAGACCTGATTACCTAAACGTAGTTTTGTGAAACCTTTCTATGCGCTGTTCTCTGAAGCACGTTGTTACTGTTCTGTTGTTGCATTTAGTAACCCTGTTGTGTCCTCCTCAGCCATTGTAATCACAATCATCACCAATCAGAATACTTGATTTATCCCGGGGGAAACTGGGTTTTGTGGCCGTGGCTCCATTTTGGAATGAGATCAAAATAGAATAAAACATACAGAAAAAAAATAGAGAAAACGGAATAAAAGTGTTGATATAAACACAAGGAGTCAAAGTTACATCAACATCATTAGAGGGTTTCACTGCAGTACACAACAAAACAATATTACCTTGAATTGCCCTCTTGTCGAATGAATTCATTTGCTTACCAAACTGCTTCTATGACATCATGTGTGTTTTTGATCTACATTGGGAACGTATAACTTTGTAAACACAAAGAAGAATCTCGTACCAAGGTTCATAAAAGATGAAGTAATGTGAAGCTTCAGGTTACTGTTCATTTCTACTGTGAGAATCAGCTAAAGGGCGGGAACATGAACAGTTCATTCATTCTTAGGTGTGTTTAGATCTACAAAAGCAAGTCAATAAAGAGCACTTTAAAGTGGGCTAGTAGTTGTTTGTGTATATCTACAGCATTAGCAGAGCTGCTGTGTGTGTGCTTAACAAACTGGATGTTTTCAGGTGGTGTCGCCTGCACCTTTAAATTAAACAGGATCCTCTTACAGCTTGGACCAAGTGTAAAATGTACACGCACACACAGAAGGCCTCTTGTGTGTTTTGATAACAATGGTTGGCTCTAAGCCCTAGCTCAGGTGAGGGTTACAGATGGTGTTCTCTGTGTGTGTGTGTGTGTGTGTGTGTAATGTGTGTGTATGTGTATGTGTATGTGTATGTGTGTGTGTGTGTGTGTGTGTGTGTGTGTGTGTGTGTGTGTGTGTGTGTGTGTGTGTGTGTGTGTGTGTGTGTGTGTGTGTGTGTGTGTGTGTGTGTGTAGTTATAGTAGTAGTAGTAGTAGTAGTAGTAGTAGTAGTAGTAGTGTGTGTGTGTGTGTGTGTGTGTGTGTGTGTGTGTGTGTGTGTGTGTGTGTGTGTGTGTGTGTGTGTGTGTGTGTGTGTGTGTGTGTGTGTGTGTGTGTGTGTGCTCACAATCTGCAGTTTGATGGTCTTGCCATCCAACTCGATGGTGCGGATCTTGAAGTCCACACCGATGGTGCTGATGTAGCTCTCTGTGTAGGTGTCATCCTGCAGAGATAAAGTGAGTGAGAATTAGACCAAAGGTTGTGTAAGGACAACGATTTGAAGAGACCAAAAGTAATGGGAAGAACATGTTTTGGAGGGTGAAAACTTACCGCAAAACGCAGCAGGAGACAGGACTTTCCTACTCCAGAGTCTCCAATGAGGAGGAGCTTGAACAGATAGTCACTGAAAGAAAACATTCCAGGTCAGAACAGGGGCCACATCTTTAAGATCAGAGCATGTGTTGTCTCAATGCCAGTGTGCCGTTGTGTTAAACATTGACTGACACACAGCTTTCTCATCACCAAGGAAGATAGATGAACAATGTTTTATATCTAGCTTTCCTGAGTATAAAGCTTTGTTTTCTTAGTGTCCACAAAGCAGATGTTCAAACCAATACCAACAACATGTTGTCTGTCCTACAATCATTCCTGAATTCCTCTACTATCACCTGGGTGTCTCTCAGCTCCAGAACCATTGGAAAGAATGAAGAGATGCTTTAAGAGCGCTCACAAGGATGTTTCCTTGTTGTTGACGGCTCAGTAGTTTGCTAAAAGAGTTGGTTAATGGCGTTTTAAGCAAAAATAACTGAAACAGTAAGAAAAGGTACTACGTTTGTGGGGGACTATTTTCAGCGGCGGATAAATCTTGGGGATTATTTTGGGATACAGTTCAGTCTGTGATTGAGTAAAACAAACTCCAATGTGTGTTTATGGTTGTGACGGAGCAGGTCACAGAGTGACTGATTCCACCACTGACAGCCGAAACACACATACCAAACATTTCCTGCTCTCTTCAGTCAAATGAACCATGCAATTGCTTATTTATTTTACGTTTGTTAATTATGGGGAATGATTATGTTAAGAGGTAGTTAACCTGTTTATGTTTGGGTCGGATCTCTTTGTTGAAATGTGGTTTTGAGTAGATTGTGTCACCTGTTGACGGTGAGCCTGTGGGAGGGGCGACGGGTTCAAAAGGGACAGTGTTGGTTCCTTGTTTTTTGGGACTGTATCACTTGGAAGAATGTTGCAATGAAGGCAACAGCTGGGACATGTTTGGGAGTTGGTTGCAGAGAAGGCAACACCAGAGCATTTTTACTCTAATGAGTGATGGACGGCCTGTTTTGGACTTTTATTTTGTTGTTTAAGTTGTGCTGGTTCAGCTATATTTCTTTGTTGCTGTAAATAAAGTTTTGGAGCTTAACCCAACCGACTAGGCCAGTGTTTTTTGAACGGACAAATAGAGCCCCGTCACAATGGTAATATTTTATAGGGTCATGTAACCCAGTTCAACAATGTGGCTCATGATGTTTTTTTTATTAGTATTTAGACAAAAATAAATGGCACAAAGGACAAATATATAAGCGGTTTTGGGTACACACACAATATTGTTAGTTGATACATTCTTTGTTATTTAGGCCTTGAATTTGCATGATTTGTTGATAAATAGTTTGACCTTAGCATAGCTTGTGCTAATTAGTTTGTGCCAATTCAAATGATTTCCTATGTTGGATATTATGTATCAAAACAATCCTTCAGACATGATAAAGGCCCGTCGTGAAAGTCCAGCATCATTATTAGATCTTGAAGCTCTGTCGTGAAAAAGGTGCTTGTGACAAATAAGGGTGTCTGCCAATATGAATTACAAATCAGATATCACATCGTCTTTGTTTTGCCCTTTTTTTTTATCTGCATACATTACAGTTTGGAATTCACTGGAATTATTTTTTAAGGTTATACAATACAAATCCAGCAGATGCAACATGACCAAATGGTTTGTGCTTTTATTACAGAGAGGGTCAAGAAAGTGTTTTTTTTGCCTGACTCATCCAAGTCCTATAATATTTAGTGTTTGCCAGAGGAGTCTGATCCAATACAAGCAGCAGCTTATTTGTTTACAAGCTACTTACTTTAAAAACGTAATCATGGTTAAAAAAAAATACATTTAGAATCTTACATGCGATGGTTGATACGCGGTAAAATTAACAACGGTTTTATTGAGAGAATATGATTGACGATCAACGGATCGTTTTAAGAGACGAAAGGTATGGCTTTGTTTAAATGTTGATTTGTATCATTTAAATCATAAGAGTACAGTTAAGAAATGATTTAAATATATTCTGCTTTATTCAGCTGATGGATCAGCCAATACATTAACCCTTAGGATGTTGGGACAATGCTACTTTTTATGTTGCTTATTCCAAATATTTTTTGTTTTGGCCAAAAAAAAATGGCTTTACTTAAGGTTAATTAAATAGCTTGTAATGAATTTTGCAACTGCAACTTTGTTGCTGTTGACTCCTTTGTTGTCCAACTACTGTTTGCTGTTCAATAAAGTCAAAGGTAAAAGTATTCTTGGTACTTGGTTACTCCAGCACAAACATACAGAATGCACACACAGTGGGATGAATGAAATGTTTACTATAGGCCATCACACACTTGTGCCCCGGGCACTACAGCAGCTTGATCCGGCCCTAGACTTAGAGCTCGGTATTACTTAAAACGTTACGGCTGTGGTGCCCATTCCTAACATCCAACACTGACGCTTTAACAATACTTATTTTAATGTCATTTGAAGGATTTTAACTGTTATGCTGGTACTGGCAGGTTCTCTTAAAAGGATGGAACAACATCTCCCACCGTCCATCCTCCCAATCCCTGAGGGGAAAACAACATCACATGAATTTGACACACAGCAAAGACAGCTGGAGAGAATTGCCCAATGCCCCTGCTATTCTTGTGTCATAGGAAACTGAGACCTGTCGTGCATCACAGCCACTTGACACTTGATCAACTGGCAATATCTCACAAACACTGGATGCAACAGCACTGTCGCAATCAGCCCATTTCACATGTCTGTATGGCTGGGGGTTCTGTTGATGTGGACTGATGTTGAGGGCAAACAACTAATCCAAAGACCATCTTAAGTACATGGCCATACACTTAAACTGAGGGAAGCTGCCAGCTAACAATAGTTATTGTGGCAACATGCATAGCTTTACTGCCATAAGAAGGGCAGTGTATCGTTTGAAACTAGGGATGTTAACGGTTAATCGACTATCGATTAATTGTCGAAAAGAATTTACTCGATTAAATTAAATTAATTGTGACTAATTGAACATTGTAATCTAAGACCGTTTCCCACAGGACGTACTTGAACGTGACCCGAGATTCTCGCGAGCCGCTAGAGCTAGACCTGTCACAAACTTGAGGCGGCAAAAAAACTAAAACAAACAATGATGAGGCGGTCAAAACGGAGTGGAGTGTGGGAGCATTTTAGATTAATTAACGATGAAAAAGACGCACAATGCAAACTTTGCGGTGCTACATTTAAATACAACAGCTCTACAAGTTCGTTAAGATACCACCTGAACAACTTGCATGTAACGTTAGCCATTCCGTCGCCTTCACAACCTACAATTGCTGCTGTGCTGGGAAGGCGAGTATGCGACCAAAGAAAAGCAGACGGCATTACTCAGAGAATTTGCGGGATGATTGAAAGGAGTTACTAGGCAGCGACGCCCCCTACAATATAGGACAGAGGTAACTTAACATAGTACGAGGGCTATTAAGGAGCGGAGCCACCACGATATAACACCNTTGGAAAGGGGTAGAGAGAATGAAATGAAGAAGTGATCGGATGTGTGGAGCGGGTTTACAGAGAGGTTAGAAGTAGTGCAGTTCCTTGAGAATATGAGATCAAGGACATTGCCAGCGTTATGAGTTGGTGGGGATGGAGACAGTGAGAAAGCAAAGGTGGTTAACAGAGATGTTAGTTCGTCTATCTTCCCTGTCTGGAGGTTGAAGTCTCCGAGAAGTGCAGCGGGAGGGCCAGTTTCTGGGATGTGTGAGAGGAGATGATCTAATTCCTCCAAGAAGTCCCCCAAGGCGCCTGGTGGACGGCAGAGAACAACAATGGTTAATTGTCAAGGATGGGTTACTGTGACGGCATGGAATTCAAAGGTGGAAGGAGTGAAGTTAGGTAGCTTGAAGAGGGAAAAGCTCCAATTGGGAGAGAGCAGGAGACCAGTGCCACCTCCTCTGCCAGAGGGTCTGGGTGTATGGGAGAAGGAATATGCTGTGGAGAGAGCTGCTGGGGTGGATGTGTTGGATGGAGTGATCCAGGTCTCCATGAGAGCAAAGAAACCCAGAGACTGCAGCGAAGCGTAGCCAGAGATGAAGTCAGCCTTAGGAACAGCTGACTGGCAGTTCCACAGGCCACCTGCAACTAGCTGTTGGATCTCAGTGGAGCATGTGTGATAGACAAGAGCAGGCCGGTTATATCGATTAGGAGATACACGGGGCCAGTGATAATTGCGAGAGGACACATGAACAGGAATGGAGAAAATACACATGATTATAGCATGAGGGGCTAGAAAAACAAAGACAATTGAATAAAACAAAAGAAAACACCAGCGATACTTAGCTCAATCAAAGTAGGGATTGATGTCACAATCTGTGTTATTATCTAGTCATATTAAAGTCTTTGTTAATGTGGTTTATCGAGAATCTAAGTAAGAATGTGCCTTCATTGCTTGTTGAAAAGTTTAAGGGCTTACATTACCTAACCAGGTCATGGTCTGGATTCATGGTGGAGGGTTTGCTATGGGGTCAGCTTCCACGTATGATGGCTCCGCCCTGGCTGCTTACCAGGATATGGTCGTAGTTCTGATCCAGCACCGTTTGGGACTTCTGGGCTTTCTCAGCACTGGAGATGAGCACATGTCTGGGAACTTTGGCATGCTGGACCAGGTAGAAGCTCTGAGGTGGATCCAGCAGCACATTCACAACTTTGGAGGAAACCCAGATGTAGTTACAATATTTGGGGAGTCAGCTGGACGGAGTGAGCGTATCTCT